GGTATCGTGCGCAGCTAAACTGGTTATTAGATATTGTTCGAAACTTATGTAAGGTCTTGGGTAGAGTAACGAACAGGGACTAATCGATATAATTGCAAGCTGAGCCATCAAGTTGGACGAGCTAGAGCTGAGATGAATTCTACTGATTACAGCGCGACGACGACGAAGGCGGCGTGGAAGCCGAAGCGCACGGTATTGGAGAGAATCGACGACCCAGTGGACGGCTGTTCCGTCCTCCCCGCGGACTCAGTACTTCCCGAAAGTCACTATTCTACTTGTACTCGCGTCAGTATCATATTCGGCTTGCAACAATACACTATGCTATTCGCTGAGTTGGTGATGGAGAAGATCAGGAGATATGAGTAATCACCCATACTACAACCTTACCATCATGTTCTGTATGCCTCCACTTGAGTGCTGCAGTAAATTAAGATAGACGATTAATGGAGATAGACGATTTCATCAAAGATCTCCATAGTAGGATCATAAGGAATACGAGGACCCCTCCCGAAATTATTGTGTATTAGCCTTAGTTTTTTGTCTGAAGGACTCATGATGGTTGGGGCAAAGAATTTGGAGTAGGGGAAGAGTTGCGATAAGGTGCATATTTGCGATTGTGTGTATGTCCGCTTTTATACTATTCGCGGGTTTTGTTTCTTTGGTGATATCTCCGATTAAAGCCTTAGGTTTTGAGGATTTTTCCACTGTCTCCATGTTTTCAATTATCTTTTTGTCTGATAGGTTTTGCCATAACCATGTTTACTTTCGGCGTACCCGTATTACAGTGCAGGTTGCACTTTTGTTATAATTTATGTTTGTACTAGGTTTCTATATATAGCTTATCTGGGCCGTTATAAGGTGAGGTTTTCTCTTTTCCGTTGTTTTTTAGACCGTTTATTAGGTTGCCTGACAAAGTTGCCGATGACATGAAATCATTTATTTCTTGGGACGAATTAGAACGGTTAGCTTTGGGTTTCGCACCTTTGTTGACATTATTTTTCTAGTGCAGAATTACGATAGTGGCTCTATTCATTCAAGAGGCTCCCCTACACACTTAGGCCTCAATTTTGTCAATAGCGGTCTGAAAAACACTGCTTCGAAATCATTCTTGATATGGCCGAAGCCAATTCACCTGGGGAAACTCATATCACTTCAAATGTTCCTCTTCATCAGCGGAAACTTTGGGAAATTGAGAGACCGGCAAAGCACAATCAGTGTCGTGGCCGTCTGCCACGGTGCCGGCTAGTGAGATCATTGTATATGCGATTACATGGGATATATGAGTACTTCTTTTCTTTTGAGGTTTTACTTTATTTTTGTCATGAGATCGGTCATCGTGCTTTATTCATAAAATTGAGAGTGTCACGTATGACTGAGATCGATCCTAAAGCACGAGTAATATGTACAACGGTTTTGTGTGGCCTCTTTTTTTTTCGCTGTTTTTTTTTGAAGTGAAAGGAATATTATTCAGGTGTCGACTTCTTCTTTGCAGTGGTCGTATGTCGTGACGTTGGGTGATTCCTCAATTTAAGTGGTTTCATAGGATATTGAATTAATCTTGCTACAGCTTTCTCATTATACATTTTAATATGATTTTACTGAGGGGGTTGCCCGTTTCGTGTGGGGAATTTGAAATTGAGGTTTCATTTTTTTGAAATTTGAGATTAAGACGTTATTATTTTTCTCAAATTTTGTGAAATAACCTTTTGAGCAGTGTTTCAGAACATATACATACACGGTGGATAGCACACTTAAGTTGTGTTGTAATTGGAATCGGAGAGGGTTCTTAGGTCAATTTAATTTGATCTGTTAATTGGTTTACTTTGGTTCTTTTTTTCTCTACCTACCTGCTTGTTGTCCATGTTGTCGATTTGTTGAACCGTTTCGTTTCGGGTCGGCCGACGCACTATGTTAGGACGATTGAGTGGCTGAATGCTCTCGACAACACGAATCTTATATTTAATTATTTACTGAACGCGCTATCAACATCACCTACATGAAATCACGGTAGGATACAACGACATGATACGATACAATTAAAATCATCATGGCAGTGACTTGCGCATTGATTACTTTCTTGCCTTAGTTACAGTGGTCGACGTTCGGTTATTGGTTACCGGATACTGGTTGGCGGGTCCGAAGGCTATGCCTTGCTTGTCCTGTTTTAGCCTTGGAATTGTTAGCAGGATTTGGTGGTATGTGCGTCCTCATTTGGTTATTGCTGGGCGACCGGAGTTGCTTGGTCGCTTAGGTTGTCGTCCTTTGAATTGTTTGAATGGCGACGTTAGTCACTTATTGGAGTGAGGAGTCCTGGAGGTCAATGGAGGCGAAGACCGTCCGGGAGTCTCAGTTATTTATACTGCCAAAAGTAGGTGCTATGTATAGAGGAGAAAATGGGCAGTCCGCTGGAATGGCTTGCTGGAATGGATCGCTCGCACGGTTGGCGGTACTTTTAAACACAGTTTATGGAGCAACTCATCGATTGAGCGTTACGGGACCTTTTGCGAAAGTGACATCGTGGCGATTCTTGACCAGAGGTCATGACACACCGACGGTCGTGACACCTGTTTAAGCTGAGGGTTGATATTTTGTGTAAGTCAGGGAACACTTAGTTAATTTGTTGTTGTTAAGTTGCAAATTCGGAGACGATCAAGTGATTGTCAGAAGATCTTGAATCTTGAAAAAACCATTTGTTAATAAAATTCGGGCCACAACTGTATGTGGTCACTGTTGTGGACAGACATATCACACTGTTCCAAAATTCGACCTAATTGAAGAAAGCGATTACGCTGGCTTCCACGCTGGATTTGCTACCTATCAATCGATAAAGTGTGAGGCAGTAATTGTTGGACGAGTGTAAGCCCATGGAAGATATGATATGATGAGATACGAAGGTGAGCTGCTTGATAAGAGTGCACTTCAGAATGAAAACGGGACGACAACGAAAACGGTATCATATCTATAATAGCATGCTCTTATCGCACCCCTTCCCACATCGAGAACTCTTTGTTTTTGCTGAACGGAAGTGGATTTTAGCGCCTTATCACTCCGTTGATAAGGCGCCACTGCCACTGAAATTACACGTGTTCTAACATTAGGCAGGACACCTATCCACTCCAGTACACGGCTTTTCTTATCGTTTCTATGAGAATTATCGTGACCACTTCCTTCAACAATAAATATAAAAGCGAAGCAAACAAGGGAATGGAATAGAAAAGGTGCTCACAAAAGATACGCCAAAAATATAGACTAATGGCGTCTCAGGGGAAGAATTTCAATTCAAAAATCAATGTGACTTATCGGTCACCTCACCCTCGCCAAGATACTTGCGAAAACGACCGTGCTTCTTGTGCAACTCGGAGCGGCAGGCCGGCTTCGACGCTCTCGTCCAAACAGTGAACATCATGGCTGCTCGAGTCGATGCCTTCTTCAACAAAGTCTCCCAGATGCAGGAGGATATGCGCGTTCTTCTCGAGTACACAACAACTACATCAATTTGCGTGTTTTGCCCTGTGGGGTAGAATGTTGACGGACATCATTCGGCTCGCTGCCATCGTTACACAGACCCCTTTTCACGAGCAATGCGCATTTCCCAGCTTCGCTTGTGCGGAAAATGTGTGCGCCCTGAACACGGAAATGGTTGCAATGTCACGTGCAATGTTTGCCGCGGCGAACACAGCAGTGTTCTTTGCCCCTCCCGCGGTGGAGCGCCAGTGAAAATGCGCAAGATGTAATGGTGCGCGATCAGGTCAGTCGATGCTTCGTCCCATCGTCGTGCTGCTGTTGTAATCTCGTCGCTGCTTCGCCTTCACTCGTCCTGCTGTTCACGTCGCTGCTTCGCCTTCACTCCCTGCTGTGGTATTCTCGTCACTGCTTCCTCCACTCTTCACGCTGCTAGTTCGGTGCTTTTGTCTTCTTCCCGATCCTTCATCACCGCTCTGCATGTTGCTGATAGTCGGTTTGCGGCTATAGGTCTGCTCGATTTTCCCGACGCTGGTTTGCTACTTCCTGTAGTCGTGCTGATTGTGGATCTATGGGAGCGAGTCTCGCCACTACTTGCGGTCATCCAAGGACGATGGGCGACACGCCACGAGTGATTTGATGATCGATTTTATAAAATGTGCTTCGATTATGCTTATTTTTGTTGGTCTTTATATTGAATTTATGTATTATTCTATATTTTTTAGAGTCGGGGCCGGCGGGAGTGTCGCGTTAGCGACGCTGCACTTAAGGCCCGCCCTCCGGGGCTCCACCCACCGTCCCCGGCTCATGGTTAGTCGATCCGTTGCATTATTGTAACGCGGCTACTACCGCTCAAAGAATAAAGTTGGTGCTATATTTTAGCACATCTGGTGCGTCTGCCCGCTTTCTAATTCTTGCTTTTAGCCGGAACAGTAACCCAGGCCACTAGCGGCAAAGCCCGCTACTCAAATCTCAGAAGAAACCTGAGCACACCAAAAAAGCGCACAAGCATGTCGCTGTTTTTCCGAAAGTCGAGCCTTCGACGAGCCACGACAAATTTGAAATCGCAACTTGATGTGTTTCGTGGCTTCACAAACGAACCACGTTACCCCCAAAGCGCATGCGAAAAAGCGGCGTATTGCTCAAAAACAATAGCAGCGCTCGAAAATTCAATTTCGCTGATCCAATCAACAAAAAATGAGCTCGTCATTCTGATCGATAGCGTTGAGCAAGACTATGCCGAGATCAAGAAGCCGGAAAAAAGTAGTTTTCTTGAAGAATTCCAGCAAGTTGCGAGTGAAACCCGGTACGAGGAAGCACCGACAGAAGCTGATGCCAAGCTGTGCGCTGAAAACCCGTCGAGCAGAAGTTAGGCAACAGCATACGCTGGCGAAGGAAGATATCCAGAAGGATATAGGAAAGCAATCTGATGAAATCGATGAAAAATGTTTTGAGGATCAAGAATCGCAGCATAAGCTCAATGTCAGAGACAAAGGAATTTCCGCAGATATCGCAAACACATCACAACATGCGATGGAATGCAGCGACCATCGGATACGGTAGCTACAGTGTGCCCGCCATTGCGCGATATTGATTCTGTTAGCGGAAGCTTACAAAATACGCGCACCTCGATCAAGCCGCCGCAAGTATCCATTCCGCGTTTTTCGGGAAATGCTGAAGATTTCCAAGAGTACTGGGCCATATTTCAAGCTGTAGTTCATGAGAATTCGTCCCTGAACAAAATGGAAAAAATGATCTTGCTAAAAGGAAGCCTAGTTGGAAGAGCAGCAACCACGATCAAAGGCACAGAAATGATGCCGAAAAATTACGACTGGATGATAGAAACCTTGAAAAAGAAATACGACAATGTCAACATCGCGCGGGCGAACATAACTCATCGCCTATCAAATCTTCAGCATACGAAAGACAACACAGGCGAAACGGTTTTTTATGGGTTACGTTCATTAGTGAATGAAATGGTTTCATCGGGCTATAACGTTATAGTAACACGTGACCCGATGTGGACTGAAGCATTCTGCAGAGACTCCCTAAGCACATCGTTGAAGAGTTCTTACGAGAAAACAAAGACGGGGAATCGTTCACAATCGGTGAGACGTTAGATCGTCTTGAGGCCGCAATTACGCGGTACAAGTACATAAATCAACGGATGAGATCACAAGGAGACAGTCTGAGCCCCACACACCCGCCACAGAAAACCAGCGCGTTCCCTGGGAGAAGTAAAATCTGTTATTTCTGTAGTCGAAGCAAACACATGACCTTCCAGTGTCGAACCGTGCACGAGCCCAGCGAACGCAGTAAAATGGCAATGGAGCAAAATTTATGTTGAAAGTGCTTTTCTAAGGATCACCGCAGTTGTGAATGCTCAAGACCAAACTGCTTTATCTGTGCGAAACTAAATGATACTGCACTCTGTCTCCGAAAAACATCGGAAACGACGATGTGGAGTCCTACCAATGAAAGACAACAACCAATCAATTCGACGACTAAAACACGTGCAAATACGAACGCTAGCAGCGCTCATCAACATGACACAGTACGCACCTATAAGGCGATCAATGCTTTTTCATCCATGACAAACGATCCTAACGGCACATAAAGCACCGTTACCGATCTAGACCAGATAGTGTTGATGGCTGCCGAAGGGTCCGTATGGAATAATAATACAAATTCATACGAAAGAGCCCTGTTTTTCTTCGACACAGGCGCGCAGTTGAGCTTAGTTGAAGAAAAATCTGCAGAACACCTCGCATGCCCGTGGTAGCCTATGATCAATGCACGCTATCCGGTATAAGTGGAATCTCCGAAACTTTCGTCTCTCACCATGTACAACTCAGAATCTTGACAGCCCACGGCAGAGAGCTTAAGATGACAATGCAAACAGAGCCCACGCTTGCGAGTGGTTCCGCAGTGCGCCTGATGGAGCCTGATGTAGAGTTCATGGAAGAAATTTCTATCTATCTTCTATCCAGTTGGCAAATACGCGCCTAAGAGGCGACCACCAGGTCCCTCAAATACTGGTGGGAATAGATCTTTATGGCATTTTCATACCAGAAACAGCCCACCCGTTCAGTCACCAACAGGCTTACGTGTAACAAAGACAGTCTTCGGTTTCGCGGCGTACGGTAGAGGAAACACAGCGGCACAGTCAAACATAGACGAAAGCGACAGTGTAGTGTAATACAGCCACAGTCGAAGAAAAGACGGAAGCAGATATGATAAAAACTATGTTCGGGCTGGAAAGCTTAGGCATATCTACAAAAGAAGGTTTGAATGAAAAGGCAACCTATGCGTATCTCTCAAAATACGCGAAATCGATCAAGTTTGAAGACAACTACGTTGTGGCTCCATTTCCGTTGAAAGAAAATATAACGGAACTAACAGACAATCGTGCTATGGCAATGAAACGGCTGATCGCGCAAGCTAAGCATCTAAACGCGCACGAAGACCAGAAAAGTGGTACACTAAGATCATCTCACAATACTTGCAGGAATATGTCATTGAGGAAGTGAGAAATCCCGTTCCTGATTCGGTGGGAACGTACCACATGCCCCATTCCGGGGTGTGGAGAGAACGCAAAGCCACCCCGTTAAGCATCGTCTTTGGTGCATCATCGAAACAAAGAGGGCGATTCTCATTGAATGACGTTCTGTATACTGGAGCTACGTTTGCGAATAAAATACATGACATCCTCATTGCATGTGGAGGGACGCCGATAGTTTTGATAGCAGACATACAGGCGGCGTTTACGCAAATTTGGATACAAGAATCATCGGGATTTGCCGGTTTCTCTGGCTCCGTGACCCTAGTAAACCACCCGCTCATAACAACATCGTGGAGTACAGATGGAAGCTTGTCCCTTTTGGCACTACTGCTTCTCCCAACATGGTAATATAGCATTCCCGCACCATGACAGCACTGAACTGGCAAACGAAATACAGCGATACCTATACGTTGATAATGTGCTGTTAACAGCGCTTACTCCTGAACAGGCAGTCGAAAAGTATAAAGCGTTACCAAAACTTTTTATGAAGATCGGAATGACTCAGGGGCGTCTGTTCAGCATCCTTATAGTGGTGCTTCACTCAGCGCGAAGCCGATAATAGCCATACGGCCCCATGAACTTCGTTGCACTAGAGTATAACCCAGTTTCAGAATCACGTTAACGTTTCATACGGAGTTTTCAATCTTGGCCTGTCACGAAACGGACAGTCTTAAGGGGCATACGTCCATCCAATCTATGGTCCGATGGGTGGTTTGGTGGTGCACCTCAATGCTTGCATGAAGGAAAAACCACATCATGCGGTTGTTGTTATTAGTTACTGTCCGAACTGAATTCAAGAATGGAAGTCAATGTGGACCGTCTGATCTATGAGAAGGCAATGGCAATACTAGTCATCAGGAAGAAATCTAACAACTGGTTCAGTCCGTACAAATCCACGTTACATCATGGACCAAAAGTAGCTGCAAGAGTGAAGCGCACTGTCGTGTGATAGATTTGGCGGACTCATCTTCTAAGCTATGACTTGTATGGTCATACTATGGTGTTAGTCGGATGACAGTGTCCTTGAGTTGGTTTCTCGGAGTCTTGTCTAGCGTGGAAAACCAAACTCGCCTCCCATAAAAAAGGGTAGCTGTCCATTGCCGAAGCTAGAAGCTCTTGGCGATACTCCTTAGCTCCTCCATTTAGCCGAATCCATAAGACGGAGTGTCTCGCGGGACTTGCAAGGTGGGCTTCGAATCAAATTTGCATTCGCAAGCGAGTAGTTAATCGTGCTGAGCTGGGGGTGTACAAACGTTGCGCAAACTCCCCTTTGTCTTTCACGAACCAGCGCGAATCAGAGATTAAAACAGGCACACGTCTCACGGGCACCTGAGGGCATGTCATCGTTTTGCTTCAGCGTACGCGAGAAGTACAATCCTGAGACAACGGCGGACTCTGTGATAGGATTTGTTAATTCAGTGAGAACGAATTCTCTCTGGAGGTTTAGTACACTGGTGAATTACGTCGCACTAGTTGTGTTTGGTCATTCCGCTGCCTGTCTAGGCGGAATGTGATGGCAAAGATCTTCTGTAGGTACACAGCCTTAATCGGTAAATTCATAAACACACTAGCGAGCAGCGTGAAGAAAAATCACAATACTGATATCGCTCTCCACGCGTACGCTATATTTTCGATCAAAACTCTTATCTCCGCCGGCGATATGAACCAGGCTGAAAGAATTTTAATTTAAAGCGAACACAGAAGCATAGACATCAAAAGCCTGCAACGGAGGTGTCGCGATAAAAGCGTGTTCGTTGACGAACAAGGAATAATAAGAATGAGATACCGCCTACAAAACGCTGATCTTCCTTACGACACAAGAACTCATCTATATTGAGTCACACTCAGAGCTCATGCGCCTGATCCATGCTCTTGCTCGCCAACGTTTTTGACTCGCACGCCCTTTACATGCCATCTTGCAAAGTTTGAAGAAAAAGTAAGTAAGAAAAAGTAAAAAGCTCAAACGAATTTATTAGATCCCGAACATAACAAGTGGTATCCAGACATACCATAATACCCCGAATATGATGGTTAATTTTCTTATCAAGAACATTTTTACATACCAAGTCACCTCAAATTGGAATCGTACTGATTTCAGCTTCAGCTTTGTGTATGGAGGATGCGCACGTGTATGGACGATTCTTTTGCGTCGTACGAGCACATATTACTGAACTTATGAAATGACTACAATCTAATACTAACTGGATAGGAAAGCAGTTGCTGCAACAGCCGCGAAGTCTCCTAGTCGGGTAACCTGTCCAAATCAACTGGGAGAAGATGCCATTTCTAAGGTTTTTGACCAACTTACTTGTTTTTTCTTCTGCAGACGTACCACTTGGCACCTCTATGTGCTTTCATATATCACTGGAATCCGCCCATCTTGTTTCTAAGAATCGATGGTTGCGCAAATTCTGGTGAGCAACGAGGTGACGGCGCAAAATGCATGACGTCTGCCATGAGACAAATGCGACACATAACCACCAAGCTCCGACATGAACTTCTGACAAACGATATTAAGATTGTGAATGTGATGTGCATAGTCGACGCTGTGGAAGAATCTGGGATCATGCCGTGAAATTACTTCGCGTTTTGACGTCAACGCTCGTCAAAACATCGTAAACTCTTTGAACCACAAATAAGAGAAATCTTCATCCAAGTTAAACGACAGACAACTGCCTATAAAGAAAATTGATAAATCTCTATGGCAGAAGTAATCAGAGGAATGGATAATCGCGTTCATGATTTCTTCAGTTCAAAGCGTCAACATCTGGAAATGCGTGATATGGGCATTGAAAACGATCAGAATCATTTCCGGTTCAAAAATATCAAAAATAACTGTTATCAACATAAACCAAATGCTCTCCGTCGGCTGTGCTACACAACGGTGCGGCTATTGCCAGTATTGACAATGTCCAGCATTCCAAAAATAAGGGTGACAAACGAATACAGAACAACCAAAAAGTACAAGCACATGTTTTGTGATCACAAGGACACTAGCTTTGCAACCTGATGTGATCATATTTAAGTTTTCACATCGCAATAAAACCAACTTTACTGATTACGCTGTCCCAGCGCCACAGGATCACAAGTAAGTAACCTTTTGCTTGTTCATAACACGAGGATAGGTAGCCCATAGGAAACGATGTACAAAAACCGCCCCAAACACTTCTCAACTACGTGTCTCAACACGAGCCATTCTTGAATCAGAATAACTGAATGACGTCACTGCCACCTATAACGCCACAGTTGTCCCGACCCAAACGCGGCAAGCGGCGTAATAGCTATGAGCTGTGACTCAACGTCGTTGCAAAGTCACTGACCTTTTTAGGGTTTCGGCAATGTAGAAAAGATCTCCAAGGAGCGGTTCAATCGCCACTAGACGTAACGCTGCGCTTACTTAACGACTGTAGTTTCTAATCTAATGACTAGCTTTGAACTTCAGCTGTTCTATTGATATTGCGACAAACGAATGCAGAACAACCAAAAAGTACAAGCACATGTTTTGTCATCACAAGAACACTAGCATTTTAACCTGGTGTGGTCATATTCACGCATCAG